TATTTGTAGAAAATGCACTCTTTTGGGCCTGTTCTTTTCCCTTCTTGCACCTTCTCTATCTTTATTTCTACAATAAAATGTATGTAAACCGAGCCTTCTATTTAATAACGTGAGGTCCACGTGACGAAGTTGCCTGCTTATCGGTATTCTACAGGCTATATCAAGGAGAGTGTGTGAGGGAAATGCACGATTTAATTCCATCTTTCCCTTTTCATCATCGGCGGATCAGACGTAGGCGTAGGGGCCTTCCTTCCAAGGATTCGAACGAATTGTTTCGTTTCGACATTTATATGGCAAACGTCTATGGAGTGGAATTACCTGCCTGCAGGTTCGTTCCCTGAACGGTACAACTTGGGCCTTATCAAAGCGAGAGTGAATAGTTTTTTTAGGTGTGCATGCTCAATCGTCGACATCATCATTCCATCAGGTGAGATGGAAGTCAAATAAAAAAAAAAGAAAAATAATTCGCCACTCCGAGAATTGACGTACTCGGCTGCAATATCCAGCAGTAGATGCGTGTAAGCCGATGAAGGCGATTCATCCATTAGAGTTAGTAACAACACTTAAAAAACCAATATTCGAAAGTGTAAAGATTCAAGAAGCATAATGCTCAATACGCTTTAAACCAAAGATTGAAACTAATTTCCTTCATCACTTTTCCAATCGCTTGATCCAAAGCGTGCCGCAAAAGTGGGTCAAAACTCTTCGAAGATCAGTCATAGTGATCGGAAAGTTAACTCATCTGTTATTCCCTAACGGCTCTTTAAAATTGTCCAGTTCAATTGCTCCGATATCGAAAAATTTAGACGCAGCGTTGTCAACATGTTAACATTGGAACCGTTGGCATGCGTGAAGTTTTAAAACAACTAAATTTACACACAGAAAATCAAAATTATCTTTATTTCGCAGGTAAGCAAATTACACTTGCAATCGTTCCAAAGCGCATTTGCGCACTACATCCAATTAGCATTCGTTCGGAATTCGAGGCTATGCAAATCTAGAAAGCTCGGACCCACTTCGGATGTCCCTTGTGCACTCAGTCCGATTAGAATCCAAGGTAATACGAATATCGCTTGTACACCTGGAGATAAAATGATCCCTGTGACATTTCGGATTCGGAACTTATAATCGGAATAGGACGTAGTGCGCAAATGATCTAACAAAGTAATATCCTCTCTTTACTAAAATAACCTTTACATTTACTTAGCTCGAAAACAACTAATTGAATCTTATTATTCTCGTAATACTGAATACCTGTTTCTGCCGCTAAACTGTAATGTCAGCATTACTGTGTTCCGATTTTTTATATATATATATATAATAGACACACGCTTGGCCACAATCTCACCTGATGTTAAGCGACGATGTGACCGACGATGGGACGCGTTTGCCTAAAAAATGCCTATTCACTCTAGCCTTGAATAGCCCCAAATTGTACTTTTCGGGAAATACAGATGCCGGTAGAGCATTCCATTCCTTTGCCGTACGCATCAGAAAGGAGGAAGCAAAGCGCTTAGTGCGAATAGGTGGAATATCAACGACATAAGAATGGAGTGCTCCGGACCTTCTAGTCGACCGAAGGAGGAACGGTGAGGGCGGAACCAAATTTGAAGCGCAAGGGTGCTGGTGAAATTACAGGCACATGGGACTTGTCAATTTATGTCTCAAGATGGCGGGCGCAATTGGAGTGACCCTAAGATCTTTGCGATTTAAAGGCGTATAACCTATATCCGGCATCAGTCTCTCACAAAACAGTTGGGTCAAATTTTATTTTGTTTGAACCCTAATTAATGACTCTTAAGCCTGTTTTGTGAAGAGAAAATAAAGCAACATTTTATTTCAATATCTTGCCCCACAAAAGAACCGAGAACCCTCTAATGTCTTAACTTCGGTAACACGAGCTTCCATTGATGTCTAGTATTAAATATTAGTACGGCACTCCGTTTATTATACAATTAGTTATTCAGACGCACAAACAGTGTACAATTGTAAATAAATTATGATGCAGTTGGTCAATATACCAATTTCCTTAAAAATCTCCCTAAATGAGGTACGTGAGCTTAATTTACAGATCGCTCTCTAACCTCATGTTTATGCAAAATAAAAATTCTCTTCAAAGTAAAAAGCTTTGTTTGACACTGCAACTATTATGAACAGACGTGTCCAGAGATGTATAGTTTTAACCGGGCTTTTACCCAAAGCGCCAGGTTTTAACCCATTTCTGCCCAAAATCATGGGAAGAAACAGACGGATTTGGTATAATTCCATACTTATTACAAATTTCGATGTAAAAAATCTTTTTCAAAGGAATAAGAAGCAACTCCACATAATATCCATCTTGCAATCTTGTGGATTATCACTATTGAGGATGCAAATTGTTTGAAAATCGTTTCAAGTTCATACCACCGAACGATTTTTTGTATTTGATTCAATAGAAAGGCAAATCGAATCATGTAAATCAGAAAGCAATAAATTATGTAATAATATCATTCAAAAAAATTCAAACCGACGTCTTCTAGCATAGTAGCGTCATCTATGGGAAATCTATGATATTTTGTCACCCAGTTAGATACCTTTACAGCTACCAGCCCCTTTTTCTGAGTATTCGATCTTTGTACTAATAATTATAACAAACTAGTGGAGTAATTTCACATAAAAATAATTAAATATCAATTTAATCAAAATATCAATACAATGAATAGCGATATCTCTAACTGGGGCTGGTAGTTGTAAAGGTATCTAACTGGGTACCTCAGTAGTGGTCACATTCAAATTTAAAGAAAATATTCTATATCTAAGGGCGGTAAAAAAGTTGAGATTATTTGTAATACAAAATGACAGGACGAGCAAGTCGTGTGCGTGATTATAAGCGCCACGTTCCAGTGCCGTCCAGAGGGTCACTGCCGCAGCGCCCGTCACCCTGAGACATAAATTGACAAGTCCCAAGTGCCTGTAATTTCACTATTAACCGGAACGCAGTTATGCTCACATTACTGCTTGGCGGCAGAAATAGGTCAGGTAGCTCAGTTACTGGACCAACTCTTTCACAAGGAGCTCTACGGCTACTGTATTATAGTTTCATATTGCATTTGCGTCAAATGTAGTAGACGTTATACCTTGTATACGAGTACTTGTATACCCGCTAACGCGATGCGCTCCTCCTACCGCAAAATGGCGGCTATTTGGTTTCGCAAATTAGAAAAGCAGTCAGATTAAATACAAGTTTTTATAAATAAAAATTGTTATTCTGCATTGCTAAATAAATACCCTCCGTACTACCAACAAAAACATCTCAAATAAAATGCAGTAATACACCGCAAATCCTGCACTTAAAAAGCACTAATGTAATTTTTGGTGTACTTGGATAAATATGATAATATTCCGTTTGAGTGGTTCTAACGTTTACCATGAAATTACTCCTTAAAGTATAGTTTATAAACATTTATATTCAGGGTAAACTTAAAAAACGCTACTTACGGTATGTTTTCAATAAATAAACACCGAAATCACCAGCCCAAACAATAACACACACGATTGTCGTGACGTATTTTTGAAGTTGTTTTTTTCTTTTAAATGACAGACACAGGCATTAAAAACTTTATGGTTTGCTAGAGTAGTTACCGAAATAGCAATTAATATTAGTTCTTTTACGTGTTCTAGCTTCGATATCCGATAAATCGGTATAAAATCATCACCGGCACCTCTAGGTGTGGTATGCGTCTACGGCTGCATGTATCGCGTGAGCGGCTAGGAGATTTTCTGGGAACTTTCAATAAACAGTTCTAATCCAAATTCAAAATCGTTTATTGCATAGTCACCTATTAATAAGATGTTAATAATAAAATCACAGTACATGTGACACCCTGTAAGGGTGTTTGCAAAAAGAGTAGCGTTGTACGCATTTTAAAAATAAAATAAAAACAAAAATTATTACACAATACTATTAATTAATACTATACATATTGTGTTTAGTAGGACTATATAACTTACCATTATTGAATTCTCTTTCTCAAAAAAAAAACATTTGAATAAAAAATAACGTTATTAAACTCGTAGCTCTATGCAAATGGATATAGATTGTACCTACGGATATAATTTTCTATTACTATTCCATATTAAATCATTCTGTTCTGCTGTAACAACTCTTACCAATTAAAAAAGTTTTAAGTTGTCTTTCAAAAGCTTTGGAATCCTGAGTACATTTTATGCTGTTCGATGAATATTATTCCATTTTTAAGAAAGGTAGTTTTAATTTGTACTGCTTACGATTATTGCTTAGGTCAGCTTAAAGATATAAGGTCAGAGTGCTTTTTAATGAATTCAGAATAATACGTACATGCGAGTTATCGTTAGTATATTAAATTTGCGAAAATAGTTTAACATTCTTATGCACTTCTTTTGGAGAACAATTCTGTATAAATCTGTACAAAGCACGATCGTGTATCCACCGTACTGCTGCCACCTTTGGGACGGCTCTGTCCATTACCAGTTAGCTGCCTTGGACTTGGTGAAGCGAAAAGCAAAGATTCTTATAAACAACAATTCTCATGTAGAGTCGAAGCTTTAAAATCTCGACCATCACAGAAAAGGAGCCTGCTTGTCGGTTTTCTATCGGATACATTTCGGACTCGCAGGAACTTTTCAATTTAGTTCCACCCTCACCGTTCCTCCTTCAGTCGACTAGAAGGTCCGGAGCACTCCATTCTTATGTCGTTGATATTCCACCTATTCGCACTAAGCGCTTGGCATCCTCTTTTCTGATGCGTCTGTATCTGTATTTCCCGAAAAGTACAATTTATTATGTGACTATTCAAGGCTAGAGTGAATAGGCATTTTTTAATCAAATGCGTCCCATCGTCGGTCACATCGTCGCTTAACATCAGGTGAGGTTGTGGCCAAGCGTGGGTCTATTATATATTAAAAAATAACAAAACAACAAAATCTTTCTTCGACGCTCAGTCTTACTTTGATTACTAACTAGGCGCGTTTGTCTGTTATAGGCGCTGCGATGTGTGGCGTGTGGTGGCGCGATGCGGGCGGGTGAGGCGCGCTTGGTGCGGGCGGTGAGCCGCGCCCATGCGTCTTGGCGCGACGGCGCTCGCGGCGGCGCTGGCGCTGCTGGCGCTGCTCCCGCCACCCGCGAGAGCCACCAGCCCGCACGGCCTCCGCCCGCCCGAGCCGGACCCCCAGCGCCTTAACCACATCAAGTCACAGATACTCTCCAAGGTGAGCGTCGTCGTCCACTGTAACTGAAACAAACAATTCTTTTATATTATACTGTGGGCGCCGAATGAGGAGGTCCCGGATTAATACTGGTCTAGGCGTTCTGGATTGTGCCTCAGTGGAAGTAGTAATTCATAGGCCTGCACTAGGGCAACCCTGCATCGCAGATGCCATGGACACACACATAAACAACCACAAATTACACCCTAAAGTCACGAAAGAAATAAATGCAGGCTATACAAATATTCCTCCCGGCCTGAGAATCGAACCCAGGCCCACTGCGGGGCAGTCCAGCTTGGTAACCGTTCGATCACGGAGGCAGTTGTAGGGGTACAATATGCTGTTGACAATGACCTACTTGTTGTTGTTGTTTGTGTGTAGAAAAGAAATGTTTTGTTGAGCAGAAATACGTGTGTTCGTCTTGAAGGTTTTTTCATATAACTTATACGAGTAGTGTCACATGTTTAAATCAAGTAACTAATTTTACTTAAATTGGTTAATTTCTATTTAGTCGTTATTTCTTTTGTCTGTTTAAATAAAATTATTTTTTTGAAGGAATATTTCGGTCTATAGTCAATTTACACGTCAACTGTATTTTTGTGTTGCTAGAATATTTTTTCAAAATTGCCTACTTCACAATTATCTTCTAGTGCTATTTTCCATCAAAATGTTGTAATGCAAGGACTTTTTACCTATTTAAATGTTGTTTTAATTTCAATGGCCTCTCGCAGCATGCTAGGTAGATTACGGATTTTTTTTTTGCAAGGACCTGTTTTATATAAATGTTTGTAATATTTTATGGTTAATCAATTAAGAATGTCACCACAAACACCACCGCATATTAAATATTATACAGGTAAAAATGATTTAAAATGCAAAAAAGCGTAGAGCGTGCTCGTACAACCATAATGAATTCCGTTCCTCTGGTACTCATAGTGCAGAAAAGTTTGAGACCAGGCAATTGATGTGATCCATCCATGATCATGATCTGGCATCTTACGGATGACCAGCGGACTGGCTACAAAGACAAACTCACTAGACTAAGGGTCGTATTCCAGAACTTTACTCAACGCTCAAGTCTTGAAGATTTCTAGTGTTTGAAATCATACTCAAGTCCCGACTTGAGCATTGAGTAGAGTTCTGAAATACGACCCTAACAGCGTCTGCGCGCTACGTCCGACATCCTAAACAATTACTATAAGGGGGTTTTGCTTTGGGGTAATACCGCCGATATCAATAGAATCTTTGTCCTGCAGAAACGTGCGGTTAGGGCAATTTACAATCTGGGTCCCAAAGTATCTTTGCGAGATAAGTTTAAGTAAATTAACATTCTTACACTAGCGTCACAACGTAATTTATGTTAAGAGGAATAGTAATCTCTTTATGAAAAATAGTGACAGACATAACATTAATACGAGGAATAAAAATAAACGAGTTATTCTTGATAGTCGTCTTCACAAAGTCAAAAAATCATTTAAGGGGCAATGTAAACGCTTCTATAACAAGATTCCGGTTGATATACAAAATTTGCCTTTCACGAGGTTTAAAACTATAGTGAACTTTATACTAAAGGTCATTATACAACTTCTGCGTACTTGGATGACAAAAATCCGTGGTAGTAACCCGTTTACCTCATGGAGGTAGTCTCGATCTCTGATGTTTCAAATAAAAAAAAATACTGTAAATGTTATTTACAAAGAGCAACCCCTAGAGTTTCTTGCTCATTCTTCTCGGGGGAATCTGCCTTACGAATGAGCGGTAGAGTTTAACCATTGTGACGATTTCAAGTGTAATAATGCTGACCTATGAAATAAATATGATTTTGATTTTGATTTTTACTGTCAAATAAGTAATACTCGACGAAATTTATAGACAATGTGAAGTATGAAGCTTCATTCGTACCATGCATCCTTTAATTTGTCGAGTATTACTTATTTAACAGTAGTAGTAGGACAGAGAACTAGAGTACATCTAGAGATCATTTTATCTCTAGGTGTACAAGCGATATTCGTATTGTCTTGAACGATTACGAGACATTCAAAATTACGCCAGCTTTCTTTGGACAAAAAATGACGATTGCTCAGTCCTAACTAAACTTCTCACGAGAGCAGATGGCAGAGACCACACCAACACATTGTCAACTCTGACTTGAACATTGTCCAGAAGTTTACTTATTAAATAATGTGTGCTTCGGCCTTTATTAAATATTGCTAAACTGCCATAATGTTTGTCGTCTTTTTTACAATATCAGTTGCAGTGCCACTCTAAAAATCGCAAAGGTCTAAGGGTCAGGGTTGACAAGTCCCGTGTGCTTGTAATTTCACCAGCACCCTTACCTTTCCAAACCAGAACGCAGCTCACATTACTGCTTGGCGGCAGAAATACGTAAGGTGACGGTACTTCCCTACTTGAGTTTTTATGACCTTCGTAGCTAAATTCTTCTGTGTTCCCCAGCTGGGTCTTTCGTCCCGGCCGCAGCCACGCGGGGCGCCGCCGCGCGACGTGGTGCGGCAGATCCTCGCGCGCGCCGCGGATCCGCAGCCGCCGGCGCACGCGCACGACGACCAGCCCATGCGGGAGGTCATTGCGATCGCACAGAGAGGTAGTGTACCTACGGCTAAAATGGCCAAACCAAGACTTGGTGGTAATGACGATATTTTGTCATTTGTTGTGTAGAACCATCAGCTTTTCTTTTATGGGTGCTGGTAAGTAGTGGTTGACCTTTAAAGACCTTTAGATTCGGCTTCACTGAAAACCAGAGCAACGAGGTGTTTTCACACGTCTTGTTACAATAAACTGAGTGGAGACGATTTTAGTAACTTTTAAATGTAAATCTAAAAGATTTTTTGTTTTATTCTAAGGTTATTTTAATTTTTTGTTATCATTCTGTCATAAGGTTACCAAATAAACTACTTTTCTTTCTTCTTTTAAGAATCAACACACTCTTAGTTTGCAACGGCTCTAAATTGGCCTATTTCTTATTGCATACTGATAACCTTCACATTACTTATATATATTTTTATGCTCTCTTACGTAATGGGGTGTGAATAGGCACTTTCTAGCGTGCTCCGTTCAGGCACACATCACCACCTACCATCAGACAAAATTGTGTTGAAATAAGCATATTATAAAACTAAATCAGAGCTAAAAACATTAAAAATAAAAAGTGAAGTATTTATTAAATATAAAAAACGAAACAAAGCCATTTTAAAAGTCATAGAAATGAAATGGCAGTGGCTCAACACAAATACCGCAGCCTACCGTGACTCTGGAGTTCTGTGAGCTTCATCAGACTGCTTCCTTCAATTTAAATCACTTCATTTACATTGTCTAAGGTCACTCAGGAATGAATCCCTACCTAGCCTATTCTACTAACAGAAATTAGCGATTTACTCCATCCAGATGGAACTTGTAATTGAGTATATTAACATAGAGTTTCTATTCCCATTTACACCGCACGCTTCGATCATTATTAACCTTATAGATATCTTCATATCGTTATAGTGTAGCGAATAGGAAGCGATAATAACGAGATGGTTGTACAGATATTCTCCTATTGGTGTATTAAATTACGCACGTAAAAGGTGCAAGCCCGGATTCGAAACCATGGCCTCTGCGGTCAGACCGAGATAGAGTTTTCCGCTACATATATGAGTAGAGGCCTGTGCCCAACAGTGGGACTTTAATTAGGCTGACTTTTATTATTCACATCAAATCAATATTACATTTAATTCTATAAGAAGTTCTTGTCATTTATTCGTCAACATTTCACACTTGTTAATTATTTTCAAAAGAAATTTTTATTTATTTATTATTTATATTGTATTTTGATTCCTTTTGAATTACTGGCTGGTCATTCTTATGGGAATCAATTAAGTGTTTTCGAAATTTTTATTATATATTTTTGACATAGTTTTCATTAATATCATTTTTTAAATTATTCTTTATTATTTATTATTCTGACTATATATTTTTACTATATTTTAGATGTATATGAGACGAAGAAAACTCCAAATAATGGTTGTTTTGACTATGCGAAATGACCCATAAGTCCTTTTAATAAAGAACGTTACTCGTAAGTTAGCGTAAACGTTATATTTGAATATATAATCTTCTATTTTAAATATGCTATCGTTATAATTTTTATTGAGTTTATTTCAGAATATGAACAAGCTGCCTTTTAAGGATTAGGAAGGAAGTGGATAAGTAAAAAGTAAGTACTGTTTTTGAAAATAATGACCAGATCATTCGACGGTGACCTCGTTCATTGTCATCCCACCTTTTTATCAAACACTTCTTAGGTACCTGGCCACTTATTTTTTAAATTTTGAATCGTTTTCGAATTCCCTTTTCCTTTATCCTCTACGGTTTTCCTTCATTATTTTTAGTATCCACAATCCGCCATCGAAATTCTTGAAATGGATGGACGTGGCCTATAAATCACAAATCACATTCATTTCCTCGACTATTATTAATATTATAAAGTTATATAGGCCCTTTTGGGATTAAGTATTGTGTTATTTAGTTTTATAGGGAGTGTTTTACAATAACTGTACCTATTATATATCATTTTCATATTTGTTACAGTCTTTCTTTTTCTCTTTTATCTTCTCTTGTTCACAAATCTTGTGAGGCAAGCCTACTGCATTCTCATTTCTCTAAGGCCACAAATTCGCAGCGGTGTTTTGTCTTGAATATGTCTAACACAACACTTCTTCTGAACCTTGAACACTCTTTCCAAAACTACTGAGTTGCCCGGAATAAGAGGGCTTGTATGAAAAAAGCATCGAGTATATAACCAGAAATAGAGACGAAATAAGGGCCATATATTCGTGGTAACTCATCAATGATACATCACTTATAAATATCAACACTCGTTTGCACTGAATTAGAGACAGGCCAACAACTGTCCCATGTGTACGTCTAAGTGTCAAAATTATTATGTATTTATTGTAATAAAGATAATATCTCTAACAATGCCGTGCTGTTCTATTCGGTGGTGTGGGAACAACAGCAAAACATCTAATTACAAGACAAACGGAATCACATTTCATTGGTAATTAAATATTAAATATGTGATTTTGCAATTTTCGTCCATTATAGCAAAGCTCAAGTTAACTGGTCGATTTGAAGTGAAATAGTTGACGACACCCGTCAATTGTTTCGAACTCGGGCTGGCCAATCGGAGCGCAATTGTCACAGTAATGATATGGCGGAATAGTTTTCAAACAAAAATGACATTTCCTCTCTATTTCTGGTTATATACTCGATGAAAAAAAGTTATGAATGCAAGAGAAACCAGACACGTTTGTCAGGATGTACATATCGACGCTTGTAGGGCAAAATGAGATAAGCAACACTTTTGGCTCATATTGAGTTACATATACCGTTGGAATCAGAAACATTAGCTAATTCCAATATCACCAAAAGTGTCGCTTATCCCATTTTGTCTTTCAAGTGTCGATATGCATGTAAATAAAGAATTTCAATACCAAAACAGTATTTTTAGTCTCATAGATTATAATTAGAATTTATGTATTGTTGTACACAATAGTTTTATTGTTGTCGGACCGCAATCGCAATCTTACAAAATAATGTATGAAGCTTTTTTACGACCGAACCAATGAATAAAGCATACTTTATTGTAATGAGAACAATGAAGCAATTCCACATTACATGGACATGGATTATAGATACTTACATACTTTTATTTTCTATTGTCGAATACTGTTGTGATAACAATAATAGGCTAGACAACTACAGTAAGCGCCTAGTTACACGAGGCGAAAGATTTCGTGAGGCCACCGCGCGGCTACCGCCCTGTTAACACGCCTTCATGTACATTAATGGCGAATATGAATTCTATTTACCAGGCAACAACATTTAAAATCCCCTGAAGAAACAACCGCGTGACGCGCCGCGGGTCAAAGCTAAATGGATAGAGCGTATTTTGCCATGACAGTTAGACGCACGCGGTCTCCACACACATCAGGGCCGTGCCCGGGACGTGGACGTGGCGTGCTAGTTTGTATGAACTGCGGGCCCGTCCCGGCGTCGGCCCGGACACGGACATGTGCAACGATATTTTTTAAGCCCCTGACGGAGCACTGCCCGTCCACATCTCGGGCACGTCCCGGATATGTGTGGATGGACCTTTATGCCGCTATTATAATTTGAAGAACCTAATGAATTTATATAGACGCTAACGAATTTTTTTAAATATAGTTTTGGGTATCACAAACTCGAATTTTTATTTCCGAAATAGCGTTTCTTCGAATTTTCATTACACCGAAAACCGAATTATAACGAAACCGTTGTTCTTTCAGGATATGTTGGATGTTTATCGCAAAGACACGGTTTGGTTAAGTTAGGTTTAAAAGAAAAAACTATTTCCTCTCAAAATTATTTTCGAGGTTATGAAAGTTCGGTCAAAAGTTATTTCTGGAAAATGTCTTTTCCGACTACTGATAGGTAACCTGATTTTGTCATTGTTCTTTTTGTATTACAATTGTATTTAAGATAAAAAACAAATTACTCAGTACCTAAGTTTATTTAGTTTTTGATTAATGCAGGACCGTACGCGTTTAATGTCATCCATCCGCCTGTTTTAAACAAAAAAAATCATATTTAGAAAAAAGACGTCTTCTAGCAAACCGTGTCAGACGGCATGCCGAGTAAGCCACGGAACGAACCAGTGGACCTCGCGAATTTTTCTATGTGTTTATTGTCAGATCTTTGTATTTGGTTCTCAATGACCTTTTGTAGAAAGGATCTTGGGATTATGAAGCTCAATCCAGTGCTTTGATCCTGATTCCAGCAAATGCTCGGCTATTGCAAAGTTATTGAGCTGACGGTTCCTAACAGCCGCGATGTGTTCTTTGACTCTTTCCGCTATGGTGCGTTTTGTCTACCCAATAAAGGAACTCGCGCAATTGTAAACGCCTGGTGATTGAAAGGATCACATACTTAGTTGATCTCACTTGGTGTCTCGACGGGGCATGTCTGTCACGCGTAGTGTAGCCTTTAGAGTCCTGTTGGTGTCCTTGTGGAGGTTTGTCATTCCTTGACGTATCAGATCTTCGACATTATGATCTTTTCCATAGAATTGTGCGTGATGTATGTGTATAAACACGTTACATAGTTAAACTTATATAATAAACTGTTGTGTTTGTAACTTAGTATAATGAGAGATAACACGTCTGCTCGCCTCAGAAATTTACTAGAGATTCTTCCTAATTATTTACTTCGAAATTTCAAAGAAGGTAGTCAGGAAGCAGAGAAAAGAGTAATAAAAAGTTGGGATCACGATGCCTTCGCCAGGCTTTGAGCAGTGAACCGAAAATCGTGGTGACATTATTTGCAACTGCAAGTAATTGTTTGAAATGTGAAACAGTGTGAACTGTAATATCTTTCCCCTTCTCCGTCTCTTTGCCCGTCCTTTTACTTGCGAGCTCACCTTTCTCCAGTCTTAAACTATCGACATTCATTCAAAAAATTTTAATATATAGCGTCACCAGTTATCAAAGACTTTATTCAATTGTTAGTTAACCTTGAAAAATCAATAAGCCGCGAAATAATTATTCAATATTATTTATTTGCAGGTCTTTATTGCGTGGTTTATTCTTGGACGGGGAAGAAAACAAACCAAAGAAACTTTGTTGATGATGCACGATACGTAAGGTAAGTTAAAAAATATTATCATCATCTAGAAAGATGTCCAAAACTGTAATAAGCCTCCTTTGAAAATTGCCACTACGACAGATATTCAAAACAATGTGAGAATAAACAAGATCTGTAGAATATACGAAAGAACAACAGAAACATTTCTTTCTTTCATGATAGTAATTTTAACAATAAATATTAGTTTTACAAAATAAAAATCAAATCATGTTATCCGTTTTTAGCTGTCTTTACATCCACGTGTCCTGTTCTATTGAAATCTGTTAACGGGAAGTGGGTGAAATTCAACAAACCTAATTCCCCTAATTTCCCACCCTTAGAGGTAGAATATTTATTTATTATATAATGGAACCACGGTACCCCCTTTCCAACAAAGAACCATCGAAATCGGTTCACCAGTTTCGGAGTAATCACGTAATATACCTACACACAAAAAAC